CATCAAATGACACAAGTTTTTTTAAAAATCAAGAAAAGAATTAATAAAATAAGAAGTAAAGAGAGGGGCGCCTGGGTGGCTCAGTCATTAAGCGTCTGCCTTCGGCTCAGGTCATGATCCCAGGGTCCTGGGATCGAGCCCCGCATTGGACTCCCTGCTTGGCGGGAAGCCTGCTTCTCCCTCCTCCACTCTCCCTGTTTGTGTTCCCTCTCTCGCTGTGTCTCTCTCTGTCAAATAAATAAATAAAAATAAAAATAAAAAAAGTAAAGAGGATATTGCTAAAAAGTATATTGTTTATCACAATTTTCAGGTTTTCTATGTCTTTCCAAATTTTAGGGACTATGCATAAGCCTTCTATCATCAACATTTTCTGCAGAATATATTTTACTTTTTATAATTTTTGAAGATATTCCATTAAAAATTTGGAGCTCCAAATTAAATTGTAGTAGTTCATCAATATTGAACCTGATTTGCGGGACCCTTGTCTTCTTTTACATGCGCTCTTGAGATAGCAATTCAGTAACTTCCTAAAGATGAGCTTCTTCAGGTGGTGCATCTGCCTTTTGTATGTTAATACATTTTTCTGCTTATCTGAGATGCAATGATGTGGGAAACAAAGGCAGAAGAAAAATTATTAAATTTCCTTACTACCTAGAGCCCACTGACAAGTCCTTGAAACAGGCAGAGTGATATTCCTCTAGGGACTCAGCTGCCTCGACGTTAATACTTTGCTAAGGACAAAAGGCAATCCTAGCCTAAACCACCCCCCCACCCTACCCCCCCGCCAGGATCCTGTAAGTCTACTTTAATGTATAAAAATTCCTTTGGGGGGGGCGCCTGGGTGGCTCAGTTGGTTAAGTGACTGCCTTCGGCTCGGGTCATGATCCTGGAGTCCCAGGATCGAATCCCGCATCGGGCTCCCTGCTCGGTGGGGAGTCTGCTTCTTCCTCTGACCCTCCTCCCTCTTGTGCTCTCTGTCTCTCATTCTCTCTCAGATAAATAAATAAAAATCTTAAAAAAAATAAAAATAAAAAATAAAAATTCCTTTGGAAACTTTATCTCTAAACCTCCCCAAGATACGTATTGGTAATCATCCCCCAAGCATATGGCCCACCGATATACATCTGAAGGGTCTCATGACTAAGGTTTTATTAGACGGTAATAAATGACCTTTTCCTAACAATAGCGAGCCCCCTCAAGGTCCTGGAATCCTTGCTTCTAAAATTCTTTAGAGAGTTACGCTATCCCTAACTCTCTCCAAACTTGAAAGTATATAATGGGCCACTCCTCATGACCCCACTGCAGCTATTTCTGCCCACGGGTCCTGTCCCCATGCTTTAATAAAATCACCTTTTTTGCACCAAACATGTCTCAAGAATTCTTTCTTGGCCATTGGCTTTGAATCCTAATGTCTTTCCTACATCATATGGAGCCCAACATGTTTGTGGTTTGGGTCAAGGAAGTGAACTTGTAAAAGCACAAGAATATGGGTTGAGTAGTGAAGGATCTTAATGATATCCAGGGGCGGGGGGGCCACTGCTGATGGAATTCATGACCCCAGTGAGCACCAGGCATTGCGGTGAGGATCCTGAGAGTGGATTAGAAAAGTGAATGTCGGCACTACGGGAATGTCCTTCTGCACAGAAAAGGAGTCTAAGAAACCTGAAACTTGCTCCCATTTGTTTTTCCCCAAACCTAGGACATCATAAAAATTCAGGCAGCTTGCTAGATTCAAATACAAATAACAACTCTATGGAAAAAATAACAGCTTGTGATAATAATAATTTAAAAAAAAACATTAAAAAATGCTTACTCTTTCAAAAAGAAATACTATAACTTTTCAGTTGAATTTAGAGGATGAGACACCAAATAGATACTTTTATTTAAAATATTTATTTGTTCATTATATTTAAGAAAAAATAAAACAAAATTGGAGACCACAAATTTCAAAAGCAATGCATTTTGAAATGTGGGATGACCCATCAAGAATGGAGGAAACCACAAGGACTTTTAAAATACTGGAATGAAATACTCATGAGGACTACTGAGCTTGCCCAGGAATTCTTTCTTGGTTATAGTGGATATGCTAGATCGGCTCTTAAACATCCATTTCAATCTCCTTCTAATAGGCAGAGGCTGGAAAAAATCCCAGATGTGTTGAAAGTGAGGATTTCAGATGTGACTTAGGTCCTGCCAATCAGATACTCTCAAATGACACTTGCATTCAGAACTGATTTAACTTAAGAGCAAGGCCTAGTGTGTGACACTCATTTTGTGGGTGCTGATTTAGCAAGATTTGCATGACTCTGGGGCCAACAGTGGCAGCAGTGGGCTCTTGGACCCAGATCACAGCTAAGGCAAGAGTGATTCTGGAATCAGAAGCTGGCTCTTGAATTCCCTCCCAGAAGTCATAATTTTCTTGGCAGGCCAGTTCTACTGTGTGGTTCTGGGAGTCATTCCTGGAGGCTCGCCTAGAGCCTGCTCCTGTAGCTCTTGTAACAATTTTATAAATACTTTATTCCCTGTATTAGATTATTTTCTAATTTCCTATATTAATTTTTTTCCTGCTTAAAATAGCTAAAATATTTTCTATTACCTGCAGCTGAACTTCTATATGATAGTAGAATATATCCTTATCCTATGCTTTCATTGTAGTCCTGCCAGAAGGGCTTAGGAAAGGAAAGGACTAAGGAAACTGAAAATCTAGGCCCTTCCCAAATATAATTGCTCTCTTCCTATTGTGTTTCCTCTAGAATCAGAACAACCACCACCTCTTTGATCTTTGGCAACTTACTTGACCTCTCTGTGCCTGAGAATAATAATGTCTACCTCACAGAGTTATGAGAATTAAATTATGGAAGTGTGTAAACCACTCAGCATCATTCCTAGTACATAGTAATTTATCAGTAAATGAGATACGTTAGCATTATTACCTCTGTAGAACTTCTGTCATTTGTAATGATCCATACATGAGAAATGGTTTGCATACCCTTGAGGGTAAGAACTAGGTTTCATTCATTCATCTTTCTGTCTCAAGATTCTATCACAAAGCTTGACACTTTGTAGATATTTAATGCTTCCTGATTGACTGTTTCTAAATAGTCTAAGAGTTCACAAAGATTCTCAAAGTTCTCAAAGTATCTTATTCTTTTATTTTCTTCTGGGAAATTAGAATATGCCTAACTCTTCATGGAGTCTTACTTGAGAGGGAGAGATAGAAGAGAATAAAAAATCTAAAAGAAGCTTTGTATATTATCCATTTCAGATCCAGCACTTCGTGTATGATGCAAGACCCAAAGTTACTATTCTGTGCTCAAGTTCACAAACCTATAAACCTGCAACCAGTTCCCTAAAGTCCCCCTATTAGGTTTTTCTATGACATCACATTAATGTAATGTAGTTTACATTACTACATGGAGACATGGAGTAATTATAAGTATGTAGGGACTTACCTCTGAAACCAAATAGTTCCCAGTGTTTAGAGGACTTAGGTTTTATCATTTTGTGTTCAGTTTCTTTTCTTACTATGAGGCATTTAGCTGTCTTTTCTTGTTGTCATCAATAATCTGATCTCCAGAAACTCTCACCAATTTTCTGATTTTCTTCTAATCTTCAAGGGTTCAGAAAATCAGAGGCTATTATAGCCAAACAAAAAGTAAATTGACTACAAGTGAGAGCTTATGGGATTTTTCTAGGGATAGATATAAATTTTAGTGGGTAGACCATTTAGTATTGGTTTGGGCCCCTTAGGGCTTGTTTTCCCCCTTATTCTTCTGATTTCATTGGAGTTTTGATAATTGACATGACCACACAAATAGCCTTAGGATGTGTTAGACTAAGTATGAACACTGAAACAGCAATTACCCACAAGGTCAAATTCTGATAAATTAATTCTCTATGTAATGTAAAATGCTATAGTCACTTTGAAAAATATTTCAGCAATACCTCAAAAAGTTAAGCAAAAATTATCATTTGATTCAGCAATTCCACTCCTAATTATATACCCAAGAGAAATAAAAAACATGTCCACATAAAAACTTGTACAGGAATGCTCATAGCAGTCATTATTCTTAACCAGCCAAAAGGTGGAAACAACCCAAATGTCCATCAATGATGAACGAGTAAACAAAATGTAGCATATCCATATAATGGAAAATTATTTGACCATAAAAAGGGATAAGTATCAAGACATGTTACAACATGGATAAACCTTGAAAATATCATGCTAATGAAAGAAAGCAATCACAAAAGACCAAATATCATATTATTCCTTTATATAAAATGTCCCAAATAGGCAAATTTATAAAGACAGATAGAAGGCTATGGTTGGCTAGGACTGTGGGCTGGGGTGGGGGATGTTGTAAGGCAACTGTGAAAGTGATAGCTAAAAAGTACAGAAGTTTCTTTTCGGGTGATGAAAATGTTTTAAAACTGTGGCGATGGTTGCACAATTCTAAATATACTAAGAGCACTGAATTGTATACTTAAAATGGGTGAACTGTATGGTATGTGAATTATATTTCAATAATACCAAAAAAGTCTCCATGTAGCAATATGACAGTCAATCTCCAGGTGAAATTCCATCCACTTCAAACAATATTTTATTCAACAAACTTAGAGTCAGTTCTTTAAAGTTTATTGTAAAAAGACCCTGAATGTAATAGTATTTTGATGAAAACAAATGTTTTTCTCAAATTGCCTATTCATATAGTAGGGAATTGGGCAAAATATCACCACTCCAAATTATCACCACTGATAAATAGTAAACTTTCACATGAATGCCTTGTGTTCCACGTAATCTTTTTTGTTTCATTACAAAAGACGTCACTGGCTGAAATCTCACTTACAGAGTAACACAAACAGGATTTCTTAAATTAAAGGCAGGAAGGTTCAATAGCAGAAAGATGACTAATCAGCACAGAAGAATTCCTAACATCCTGCTAAACTCTAGTGGAGTCAACTTGCTTTCTTTTTCATTGTTACTATAGAGATCAGGGAACTGCAAGCACATGTGGTTTGGGCAGGAAGCTTCTTACGTTTCATCAGAAACAAAAGGGCAGAGGGCAGTGGCTCTGAGTGGGGGGCAGAACTGCACTGCAGAAGCTGGAGTCACGTTCTTGGTCCTGTCAGGGGTGGCTGGCTGACGCTGGTGACTCATTTGTGACTCACAGGTCTACTTTCCCCGTTTGCTACAAGTTTTCAAATTAGGTCCTGGGAAAAGATATATCAGCTTATTGACCTGAGATGCTTTTCTGAAACTCTCCACAACAGGATTCTCACCTTCCTGTGTTGTTATTAAAAAATTTTTAAAACAAAACAACAAAATGACATTCCATTATCAGGTAAGTTTAAATAGGGGAGGATAGGGGAAAAAATTGTTAATGATACAATCTGAACTGTCTAGACGCAAATAGTTATATTAAAAATAAATGTATTTTAGCTGCAATCTTTTAGATTGTTTGAAAAAAATATGCCAGAAACTGATAAGAAAATCTCAAAATAATTACCTACACATCCTATTTTTATATAATATTGGATATTTTTCTCCATATGACAAATTATGGCTGAGGGAAACACTATCACAAGAAACTGTATGTGTTTACATACACATGTGTGTATCTAAGTGTGTATACATGTGTTCATAACTCAGACACACAGTATTTATAAGAATTCAGCTACTACAACAGGGCAGGAGATGAAATTATCAACATTATCAGTAGTCTAAATGTCTCTTGGGTGACAGGCTATTCAGAATTTTAAAAATTAAGATAATTTTTAAAGTAAGAAGTATAGTTTGCTAATAAGCTTCATATTCATGTTGATCTTTTGCAAAAATTCTTTTAAGTGATTATTTAAATGCTCTGCATTGTAATGCACACCATTTTCTAGCCTTCAATCCTTTACACTGGGTGTCAAGCTATTAGACAGGAACATTCTGAGACTCTCCGTCCATGGAAATGTCTAATGGCATTGCACCAATGTCCCATGCAGTGAAGAGAATGCATTTTCAGTTTTAATCCTAAGTATAAAGTAATTTTTGACAAAATGGATTTAAAACACCCCTCTAACTGGTACAGCTCAAAGAATTCTGATCCAATAGGAAGGAGGCAGCCCTGACCCTATATCCCCATCCCAATTCCTCTCCCCACCTCCAGCCTAGAGTGCTGATCCTACAGGAAAAATGCACATGCCAAAGGTTCCATATATATATTTTGTAATTATGTGTAGAACATTTGGGATGTAGAGCAAGAGAGTTGCATTATCACACTGACCCTTCTTGGGTTAGGAAACAAAAACTTAGCACATGCTATAGGCCAGGCTGGTCATATGGACCCAGGTCAGCTCCAATGACCTGTCACTCAAGAGAGGAGTCCATTCAATTAGCTACACCCTGGGAGAGGTGGCCACAGTCAATGGTAAGCTGGTTCAGAAGAACTGACTATCCTTTCTGGTTCAACTGTACATGAAGTTCCTGTTAGAGAATTCTATTTTAGCAAGGGGATTTGGCAATATAGTAGCAAATTCTTATACTGTCTTTAAAAATCCTAAATCAGTGAGAACAGATATGTGGAACTTTTATCTCATTAGAAGTTCTGGCATAGTTTGCTATTATGTATATAATGTAAATGCTAAATGGCTGGGGAGGGAGGCTAAGAATGATCAGACTATACTGCTGAAAGTCTGATATTTCCTAGGAAAATACGCATTTTTCATGTTAAATCCCATATTACTTTATAATATCTAGACTAATTGTATCAAGAAAACCCTATTTATTTAGGTAAATTCACAAACAACTGGAACAGTTGATTAATCCCAAGGGCTAAGTAGCATAAATAAATCAATTTATGGGCCAACTGGAAATGAGGTTAGGGCAGGAAATATGCACACATTAAAAGTGAACTAATGTAAACTGAAGTGCTTTGAAACATAGCATACTTGCTCAAGGTAAAATATTATTATAATAATTGAAGAATATTATGGGTTTTAACATCATTACTAACTCTGCATGATTTAATTTTAGATGCTTGCCAATAAGAACTATGATAAATACCTATTTTCACTATATGCAGGCTTTCCTAAAGATTACGCAAATTTCCTTTGCCATGGGACTTTTTTTTAAGATTTATTTTTTATTTTAGAGAGAGAGAGAGAGAGAGTGAGTGCATGAGTCGGGGGAAGGGCAGAGGAGAGGGAAAGAGAATCCCAAGTAGACTCTGCACTGAGCGTGGAGTCTGATGCAGGACTCGATCTCACAAGTCTGAGGTTCATTACCTGAGCCGAAATCAAGAGTTGGTGCTCAACTAAATGAGCCACCCAGGCGCCCCAGCCATGGGACTTTTCTTAAGTATATGGAGAAACTTATTTTTTTTTTTAAGATTTTATTTATTTGAGAGAGAGAGAGAAACAGCATGAGAGGGGAGAGGGTCAGAGGGAGAAGCAGGCTCCCCGCTGAGCCGGGACCCCGATGTGGAACTCGATCCCGGGACTCCAAGATCATGACCCGAGCTGAAGGCAGTCGCCCAACCAAATGAGCCACCCAGGCACCCCGAGAAACTTATTTTTTGTATCCACTTGAATACAATAAAGATGTCCTAATCAATAAGCCCTGGGTCAATGTCATTGCCCATTAACAACTGCTTAGGAATCAGCAATTTAAATTCTGCTATTCTGAAAAACTGTGGAGAAGCAAAAATCTTTTTTTTCTCTTCTTTCTTTTCTTTTTTTTTTTCCTTAGATATATCTGAAACCAGTAACGTCCTTGGACTCATCCTTGAACTCATCCTTGGACTCTGCCCAGAATGTGATAGGACAGTGTGCCAAGATGCACTGCATCTATTACCTCACTGGATCCTCATGCAAACTCAGAGGCAGGCAGCAACTCCATTTATAGACGAGAAAGATGAACCCTCCAAATTATCTACCCTGGTTTCAAGTAGGCAGTTCACAACTGCACATCTCCAGGTGAATCACCTATTTTCTTCTCTCTGGATTTCTATGTGCTGTAAGTATACCCTTTGCTGGAATATTGTCTTATAGTTTCATGTATGAGAGAGGAGAGGAGGGAAGGGGAGCAGTGGGGAGAAGAAAATTGATAAGAGGTGCTCTGGTTTCAAGCTTCTGCTTCAAGAATGCTCCCTTATGTACTCCCTGATTTCATCTTTGACCTTCCTGGAATGGAGGATCTCATTCTTCATGTGTGATTCCTTAAAAAGTGTGATAGGCAGAACAATGGCCTCCAGAGATATTTGTCTTAATTCCCAGAACCTGTAAATATTTTAGCTTACAGGGCAAAGGGGAATTAAGGTGGTAGATAGAATTAAGTTTGCTAATCAGCTAGCCTTAAATAGTGAGATTATCCTGGATTATCCAGGTAGGTCCAATGTAATCAAAAAGGCTCTTAAAAGTGGAGGAGAGAGGCAGAACAGAGTCAGAGAGAGATTTTGAAGCTGGAGGAAGGGGCCAATAGCCAAGGAATGGGGGAAGCCTCTAGAAGCTGGAAAAGGCAAGGAAATGGAATCTTTTCCAGAGTCACCAAAAACAAATTCTGCCCTACCAAATCCTAATTTTAGTCCAGTGACATCTGTGTTGGACTTCCAAAGAACTGTAAAATAATAAGTCTAGATTGTTTTAAGCTACCACATTTGCGTATTATGTTACAGTAGCAATAAGAAAACTAATATGTAGAGCCAATCTAGTGTTCTTTTGGATCCTGGGGGCAGGTAGAACATCTGTCAACCTCTCCTGATTCTTGCCCACTTGTATATTTTCTTAGAAATGGGTCACTTAGTTGGACCAAGGGAAAACGAGGACCCATGCTGTGTTTTTCTAGTACAACCCTGAGCTGCTCTGACAATGGAAGACCTACTCATCCTATAAGGCCAGAAGGTACATTTATGTGAGGATGCTTAGAGGAAGCACACCAGCATATAGTTGGATTCCTATCAACTGTGTTTACAAGTAATACCGCGGAAGAAAGATGTGAAAGTTAGAATAATTTTTCCATCCTCAAGAGTAAAAGAGTAAAATTTACATTTGTCATGTAAATATAGGTAGTACCTGTCATGTAAATAAAGGTAATATGGTGTGGCAGGTTTTCAAACTCTGCTTGAACCAGGATAGCATAACTGTTATAGCATAAGCTCTGGAGCCTGAGCCTGACAGATCAGAGATCAAGACCCTGCTCTGCCCACTAGCTGGGTGACATTAGGCATCCATGTAGCCTTGGGAGAGTCAGAGCAGAGAGCTGAAACCCAAAGGCTTCTGGTTACCACCTCACCCATTGAGTCAGGGATACTTACTATAAGAACTTTGTGTGTTACTTTAAAATTTATAATGTACCCATTTGTTATATTGATTTCTTAATGTTAAGTAGTCTCACACTTAAATGTCAGAATACAGGGGTTTTATCTATAATGGGAAAAAAGAAAAGATGAGGAGGGTGGGTAGAAGGGATGTAAGTGGTTTGACCAGTTCTATATCCAGCTGTGTGAGAGGGCCCAGATACCCAAGGAGTAGAGTGGCTGCTAACCTCAGCTGAAGGAGAGAAAAGCAGGCTGAGTTTCTAGGCCTTGACAGTGAACCAAAGCCTGGATGCACCTGAGAGGGAGCTTTGGACCTTTTGGATATCTGAATGGAAAAGTTACTCCTTGCAGGCCATATTCTCCTTATGGGCCTATCTTATTTCATCTATTCTTAACAATTTCCTGAACAACTGATCAGTTGGGTATCATTGATATTGGGAACCTGCAAAAACAAGTGAAAAAATAAAAAGACTAAAGCCTCTTCTGTAAGGGTTCCCTGACTGAAGCTGATTGGGAGGGATAGGTAGTGGGACCATAAGGAAGTTATTATAGAAAGGGAACAGAAGAGCTGAGGACCCTTGACTCCTGTGGCAGAGATTTTGCTGAAAACTGAAATGAACTGGAGACAACAAAGCACATGAAAATAACTTTCCTGTAATTAAAATTAGGATTTTGTGAAGCCTTGAGTCAGATTCCTTGCATCATTTTTGGGAGGCTAGGAGCTTCATATTCAAAACACTAGGGTCAATTTATACTATTTTACTGAAAAGTGTTTTTAAAAAATTATTCCATACTTTGAATCCTAGCCTTAGTTTGGCTTGACTGCTTGGAAATTCTCCTGCTTGTTTCAGTCCTGTGGGCAGTATGGATCAGTTCTCAGTGCCCAGGGCCCTGACCCATTGTGATTTTGGTCCTAAAGGGCAAGATCCTGGTCAATGAGAGATCATCTCTGGACTCATCCCCCTTCCTCAGCAGGATAAAGGGATTCTCAATGATGAGGGGCTAACCCTGTGGGCGGCAGGCAATACTTATGGTTAGAAGGGCAAGACAAGAGCAGCAGATAGGAACTGACAGACATTAATGCAGTTTAATAATTTTTTTTTTTACTTACTCTTCAGTGGTTTCCTTTCCCATTCTCATGATGACCACTTCACCGATTTATGACTGCTCTTACACCCCCAAACCACACTCACCGTTATCAGGAAACCTAATCTCCCAACCCATGGGAAAGAGAGAACTCTTGATACTTCCCTTAATTTTCCATTTAAATGTACACCAATCTCCAACCCTCTTTTCTATCCTCCTTTGGGCTAATATTTCTTCCTCTCTATTGACTCCTCCTCCTCTGCTACGTATGTGCTCAAAATTCTCAAGCCCTACAACCAAACATTCTTTACACAAGTCTGCCTTCTCCTGAGGCCACCAAGCTCACTCTCCTCTCTCCTTCATCAATACAGTTCCTAAAAGGAAAGTATCTTTTTGTTTTCTATTTTCTCACCCCATTTTCATTGCTTACCTCACAGAAATTCAGCCTCTGTCCCTTCCTTTCTAGTGATGCTCTTCCCACAATGGTCACTTCCATCTACCTCCCAATTGTCAGACTGTTTTGCTCATCTCAATTTTCACTGTATTTGATTTTGAAATAATTATTGCCACCATTTTGTCCCTGGCACTATTTTAAGCATTGTCACATATTCCATTCAGTCCTCAACATAACTCTGTGCATTAGGTGTTATATTCCACATTTTATACAGAAGGAAGCAGCTTTGCTTGACACCTTTAACAACTTCCTCTATCTGGACTATCTTCCTCTCTTAGGGAAAGGAATGGACAAAGGTAAAGGAGTGAGGGAATGAGAGCAAAAGCAGTCCCCAAACCAGGTGGAGAATCAGGAAAGAGTAATTTTATGGAAACTAAAAGAGGAAACACCTTCCTCCATCTGGACTGTCTTCTTCTCTATAAACGTTTTCTATAAAACGACTATTTCCTGATTCTCCCCCTGGTTTGGGGACTGCTTTTACTCTCATTCCCTCACTCCTTTACTTTGGTCCACTCCTCTGCTTCTCCCACTTGGGTACACATTTTTTCTCAGTGATCTAAGTCAATCCTGCGTCCATATCTTTGTGCCATCTCTGTGTTCCTGATCCGTATTTTCAACTGCATAATTAGCATCTCCACATTCATAGTCAAGACACCAAACCTAACTTATCTTCCCAGGCACGTTTACAGTAAACATTTGTAGAATCTCTATCACATTTCAGGTATGGTTTGCTGCCCTGGGGACATTCAGATGAATAAAACACAGTCCTGTCCTTGAGGACCAGGAGATGGACTTGTAAATAATTATAGTATAAAATGTAGGTATTATAATAGAAGTATCAGTAGTAGATCAAGAAGCAAGAGAAAGGAGCCTGTAGCTGCCTGAATGGCTCATAGAAAGTTTCCCGGAAGAGATGAAAACTTTTCATATGACTTTGAAGGAGATTTCTAGGGAGACAAGGGAATAAAAAGATATTCAGTGCAAAGGGCCCAGTTTATGCAAATGCACAGAGGTTCCAGAAAGATTGGCATACCTAAGAAAACTTATGGTTTGCAAGTTTGGATGCTTAGGAATGAGTATTCTATACTGGGGTTGACAGTACTACCATTTATTAAATTATTTACCTGGCCTTTTCCTCCCCCAATAAATACTATTACAATCAGTATTATTGATTCCATTTTCCATAGGACTTCTGATCCTATCATAATCTCCCTTTCTTCCCATGGTTACTGCCCTAGTTAAGGCTCTTAATCCAAATCATTGTGGATGATTTATTGCTTGAGATTTAAGAAAGAACTCTGCCTGCACTGTTACCAAGCCCTTTACCCTGTTCAAAAATAAATATGTTTACAAATCTAGATACCCTATTATACTTATGTAAAATTATACTGGTTTAAAAACATCACAATAACTTTTCTCAATAAGAAAGCAGTTGAAAGAAAGCCCTACCATATACTTTTTTTTAATTCATGGAAGCTGTTCTTGTCTTCATACTTATCAATATGGAGTGATCGGTGTCAGAGACCAGGTGGGAAAGAGTCTATTAAGCGGAAGAAGACTTAAAGGATCAATGAAGATGTCTCTGAGAAGCATTTTAGGAGAAGGATATGTCAATGTGTCAGTAAAAAGATTTGAAATATGGTGATTACCAAAGAAGCTTTGGAAGAAGCCAGAAAAGTGAGATCTGCTTTATTAGAGATGGGGAGAAAAGGAAATAATGACGAAGTGATATATTTATGTATGTAGGATCCCGGCTGTGCCACATCCTGAGTTGAGATGCCTTTAACTTTTAATTCTCACCTTAACAAATGGCTTCTGTATTTTATATCTCTGTACCTATAATTCATTTTCAAACAGATCTGTAGATTTTGTTTGATTCTCATTCTAACTTTATAGATAGGAATTATTATTTAGTTCACAAATGGAAGGAACTGTGGCAGTGTTTAAGAGGCTTGAGATGAGAGCTGGTTAATAACCAACAGATCTGGAATTAGGTCTGTCATTCTAGAACTCTTACTATTACATGTGCCTGACTCCTAGCATTACGGAGAGAACTGAAATTATGTACCAAATATAGGTTTATTAAAGTCTGATTCTGAAAAATTTTGGAAATCAATGTGAAATTTGCAAACATAAGATACATTTTCAAGAAGATGTCTGAAAATTGTTAGTCCCAATTTTTTTTTAAGATTTATTTATTTATTTTAGAGGGGATGGGTAGAGAAACTCTAAGCAGACTCTGCGCTGAGTGTGGAGCCTGACAGGGGCCTCAATCTCATGACTTTGGAGACCACTACCTGAGCCGAAACCAACAGCTGGACGCTTAATCAACTGGGTCACCCAGGGCTCCAGTCCCAATTTTTGATTATACAGTTTTGTCTTCTGTGAATCTGTTTGTTTAGGCACACTCTCAATTTCATATAGCCAGCTTATTATCTTCATCTTGGCATAAATATATTACTATCACAATGCATCTCCTGATTTGGGATTTGGTGTATTTGGTTATCATATAAATACTACAAGTCTTTAAAAAAGACTTTTGTATTGCTTACTTCCTGCCAATAGATCTCTTTTCCTCTTCTAAGCATTTAAAAAATTTAATACTTTTTCTTTTTAAGAATCAGTTTGAGCGAGTATTAAAAGGAGGAAATGTGTGTTTCTCATAATGCTGGGTCCGTTTTCATGGGCTGGAGTAACAGGGCCCTGGCTAGGGGCTCATATGCCCTGCTAGAATTTTTAGACAACTTCAAAATATCCAACATACATTAAAGGAACAAGAAAAAGTTAATATCAATGATTCTTTAAACATATCTTGTATAATTTACCAGGACTTGTGAGATTTCATAAATGTAATCAGTGCAGTCTCCTGTGGGTACTTTTTCAAGACTAGAACCATTGTGGTAGAACCCAAGTCATGGGACAGTCTCATTAACCTCTCTTTCACCTGTGGCAGAGGTAGATGAGTGCCCCCTCACTGTGAGAGCAGTCTTCCAAATGCCAAGTCATTCTTTAGTCTTTAGGGGAAGAAGTGCTATCCAAGGTCAAAGAGGGATCTTCTGAGCCTTCCCTTTGAGCTCACTAAAATACTCTCTGTTGCAGTGGGAGGTTAAACCACCAAGGTAGCCAACAGACACAGAAGAATTCTGTTGACAGAGCTTCTGAACTTTCACAGGCTTAGTTATCTCTTCCAGCAATGCATAATTTCAGACAATACATGCATATTATCTAGAATTTTTTTTACAGTTGCACTGTGGGGAGGGGTGTTATTTTTACTGTGGCTTGTCAGTTTGACCTATTTGAGAGTGACTGCTACTCATCTTTCTCTTCTTGGGATTCTTAGAAAGCTCCGCCCTAACTTTATCCATATTTGGGGGCAACTTGGAAACTGAGGAAAGGGAGATGTGCTAATCATTGAGGTGGTGCTTACCTCTCTCTACCTTTCCTTTCTCCTACTGTATAGCTCTACTTTCAGAAAAAAATTAATATTTATACCTCAAAAATTTACTTAAAATATTTCATTTTTAATTCCAAGTCAAAGGATTTGATTAGTATTTATCTTGCCCAAGCTGTCATCCATTCTGACTTTTTGAGAAAAAAATTGGTTCTTTTCCTAAAATTATGGTACTTGACCATGGTTTGCAAAATTATATTTAGTGATAAAATAATCCTAAATTGACTACAATTAGTTTGTGAGTTCATCCCTAATCCTGAGAAGAATGTCAAAACTGAATCTGCTACCAGGAAACACTAACATTTCTTAAAAGGATTCAGAGATTTTTTAAAAAATGTATTATGATGATTATTATGATTGAAATATCTCCTGAATTTCCACTAATCTCTCTCTCTCTCTGTCTCTCTCTGTCTCTCTCTCTCTCTCTCACACACACACACTCTCTTTGGCTAATTCTCTAAGTATTCATTCTATGAAAATACACAATCTGGTGATGACCACATAGAACAAAATTCTTCCACAATATTTTAGATACAATAGGTATTACTGACAAGTATGGTAGGGATGGGGCACTGGATGAAAATTATGAAAGTTAAGTAACATTTTAGAAAAGTAAATTAATTAATTTTCAGAGAACACAGATAACCTGAGAATAATTGAGTTAACCCTTCAGGTTTAGAAATGTAGAAGTTCTTTTAACCAACTTTGAATTAACCAGTTTGC